CTGTTTGTAAAGACTTTTTTTTGTCACGAGTAATACCAACTTAGAAAATTATTTTAGATGTATTTTGTTGTGTTCTCCTTTCCATCTGTAAATAGTGGTTATTTCTGTGAAACATTGGTCATCATTGTTTTAGTTGTAGAAGTTGGCTTTGTCAGCTGATTTTCTGTGGAAGCAATAGAAGTTATAGTACATGTATTTGAGGAACAATCACTCTTTCTTTTATTCTTCAGGTACCTGAAGCACTCACCCCATCACTTACCACATTCCAGATGGGAAATGATGGCTAAGAGCAGAAAAGCAGAAAGCTGCTAAATCACCTCTTAGTTTATAGTCACTCTTAAGAACTTTAAGAGCATATCCAGAGTAGCGAGCTTAAACTATACTCAGTCCCAAACTACTTAGAATTCAAAATTAAATTCACACTGGCAATGATTAATACTGATCAGATGAGCTTTGCTAATACAAACATGGCTTAAGAAGGTGCTTCTTTCTAGCTAAAATGTAACTGTTTTTCTTGTGTGGATCAATGCAGAATGAAACATGCAAGTTTGATTGTGCTCTTGAAAGTAGCTTAAATTCACACTGAAACAGTCGTGGAGAGCTAATGACAGGGTTAGTAGTAACAGTTAAGACGTATAAAATACCCTGTAATCAGGTAAATTCAGTGGTCTGTGTAGACATGTCTTTTCTTATTTCTCATTTGTCAGAGGAGAAATAGCAATGTTCCTTTCACCCTAAGCAAGCTGCTTTTTCAATTTCTTTAATATTTTATCATACTTTTATACATTTTCGTATTTTTTAACTATATTAAGAAGCTGCGGATTTAGGAATACTGTCTCAGACAGAGGTGAAAGTTGAACTTACTGAAATGCCCTTCTTACAGTCTCTTAATACCGCAGGAAATGTCAGTGCATTTGTTATTTTAAAGATACATTCCATTTCAAAAATGAAATTACCGCCTTATTTTTGAATTTTTGTACACCTTTGGTGGGTGGGTGAAGTTGTATGTAGGGTTTTGACTCTGAATATAGGAATTCATTATTTGTGTTTAACTTTCTTTTTGGTTAAAAAAAACCACTGACTTATTTTGCACAATGTTGCATTGGGAAGGTTGCCAATTTCATCTGTTCCAGATCTTGATGCGAGTTTGTGGGAAACCTCTAAATACATTGGTTTTCTCTCCTATACAATAAATGAATCCAGTAGGATTTTAGATATGGTCTTGTAACACGTATTTTGTACATAACCCACAAAATGGACCAAAGTCACTCAGTCAGTAATTCATAACACAGGAAGTGGTCTCCAGTTTACACCATGTCGCATAACGTTCTCTTTGTGTTAGGTGAAAGTGTCCGTACTTATGTGCATTATATACAAATAACATGTGTTACGTGTCTTAACTAATAATTTATGTCCTGTAAATAGCCCTTTCGTTCTATAAGAACCAGACACACTGAGTTGTTGGCTAATTTTCTAAAAAAGAAAATTGATTTCCTCTTCTCAGTAGTGTTTCTTGGGTTGCAGTGGAGATGCTTTTATTAGCACAGAGTAGTATAAATCAGGACTGTCCTGACAGTAGAATTGCATTAGGTCTTACAACTTACTTTGAATTGGAGAGTTTAATAATCCAGGCTAACAGCCTAGCTTTGCTTTTTTAAAAAAAGTTTTTTGATTATCTGATTATGTATTTTGGATTACTTTAAAGAGCCTGGAGGAGTATTTGTTAAAACAAACAATTTGAGATGTTGGAAACATACCTAACCAGTACAGAAGAATTTGGGCTCTATGTCTGGTGAAAACCAGGCTTAACTCTTTACATAGTGTCTCTAAGGAGAATATAGATGCTCCCAACAGATTTATTAGATACCTCCAAAAAAAGAGATTCTCAGTTCCTGCTAAAGAGTGTTTGGGAGTGAAGGATGGAGTTTTTGTTTGAAATTCAGGTATAGTTGAAAAGGAAATGAAATCCAATATTTCAGATTTCCTGCAGGCTGGAAATCCCAATAAGGCATTTCAGGAGCATCCACCCACACTTCTCCTTCCAAAGCAGAGTTTGTTCCCTGATGCTTGTGACTGTTCATGGATCTGCCATGCTCATCAGTCTCATTGCTGCAATGTCCTCTTGGGGTCGTCATCACCTTGGCAACACATTGTTTAGACTTTTGCTTGCCTTAGAGAGTCCTTTCCAAGTGCTTTTAATTCAAAGTGCTTATGGGGCAGTAAGGAATTTGGAAGCATAAACAGTCCTAACTCCGAAAGGTTTCTCAGAACATCCAGGCTCACCAGGGATGCACTTGGAGCTGAGTCTCAGTCAGAATAAGGATTTTCAGACTTGCAGCTCAGTGACAGCTCAGTTTAATATCTTTATCAATGATCTGAGTGAAGAGATTGAGTGCTCCCTCAGTAAGTTTGCAGATGACACCAAATTGCGTGGAAGTGTTGTTCTGCTCAAGGGTAGGAAGGCTCTGCAGAGGGACCTGGACAGGCTGGATCGATGGACTGAGGTCAGTTGTATGAGATTTAACAAGGCCAAGTACCAGGTCTTGTACCTTGGTCACAACAACCTTGTGCAATGCTACAGTCTTGGGGATGAGTGGCTAGAAAGCTGCTTGGCAGAAAAGGATCTGGGGGTGCTGGTTGACAGTGACTGAACATGAGCCAGGGGTGTGCCCGGGTAGCCAAGAAGGCCAACAGCATCCTGGCCTGTATCAGAAACAGTGTGGCCAACAGCAGTAGGGAAGTGGTTGCGTCCCTGTAGTCAGCACTGCTGAGGCCACATCTGAAATATTGTGTTCAGTTCTGGGCCCCTCACTACAAGAAGGACATTGAGACACTGAAGTATGTCCAGAGACAATGAAGCTGGTGAGTGGTCTGGAGCACAAGTCTTACGAGGAGCGGCTGAGGGAACTGGAGTTGTTTAGTCTGGAGAAGAGGAGGCTTAGAGTAGACCTTATCACTCTCTATAACTACCTGAAGGGAGGTTGTAGTGAGATGTGTCTACTAGGCCTCTTCTCCCAAGTAACAAGCAATAGGATGAGAGGAAATGGCCTCAAGTTGTACCAGGGGAGGGTTAAATTGGATATTAGGAAAAAAGTCTTTACTGAAAGAGTGGTCAAACACTGGAACAGGCTGCCCAGGGAAGTGGTGGAGTTACCATCGCTGGAGCTGTTCAAAAAACGTGTAAATGTGGCACTTCAGGACATGATTTAGTGGGCATGGTGGTGTTAGGCTGACAGTTGGACTTGATGATCCTAGAGGTCTCTTCCAACCTTAATGATTCTGTGAGTGTGACAGAGGAGCAGCAGGGTTTGACTTGAAAGTCTCTCAGAAGTCGGGAGCCTTTTAAGTCGTCCTTAAACACATTGCCTCAGGAAAGGGTTCTGTTCATCCAGGGTCTGTGGTTGGCCACTCCCGCTGAGATCTGACTGGAAGACCTGGGAATTGCCAGGCATTTCATTCTAGGATAAAATACTGTGAAGGTTATCCAGCAAGAAAAAGAAAGAAAGAAAAAAAAACAAACACCACCAAAATAAAACCCTCTAGCATCAACCCTCAGACAGGCTGTTGCAGGGCCAAGGCCCTGAAATATGAAACGTTCCAGTATTTGGACAACTCAGATCCATCCCAAGGTCCTAGTCCCAGTAAAGATGGGCACCAAGGCTGCCTTCAGTCCTAGAATATTTTGCTCCTAGATTCTCTTGGATTTCACTAGAAAGTGGCCTTGGCTTTAGCAGAGCTAATTGAAAACAAGAGACTTCAAGGCAACAACATTGGGGTCAGTGAAGGGCTATTTTCCTTGTCTTATTTTACTGAGTAACTAAACAGATTTAGCCAAGTGTATTTTTGCTGTTACTTGGATTTTTGGAAGCAGTAGCTTCTAACCCTGAGGTTTATGCTGCTGCAGTTCTGTCCAATTACCTTTAAAGGCAACAGAGTTCTATACTATTGGATTTAGACTTTCTGTGCTTTGTAGTAGAGTATTGGCAGCCTGTAAAACAGCTCTCCACAGCTGCACATGGAGGGCAAAAAATCTGTAGTCTTATTTTCTCTTGTAAATTTGTTTCAGAGAAGAGAACGGCCTTGAGTTTGTAGGCAATCTTGGCCGGTAGAATAGCTCCAAACCTGCTATTCACTGAAGCAAATTCAAGCAATTCTGAAATAGCTTTCATTGGTGTCAAACAGCAGCTCAAGATCCTAGAGCAGAGAGGGAGGGGGAGAATGAAAAGATAGTCCTTAGTCTGTTGATTTAAACTCCAGCATAAATACCACCTTTTCATAGAATCATTAAGATTGAAAAAGATCTCTAGAATCATCAAGTCCAACTGTCAGCCTAACACCACCGTGCCCAGTAAACCATGTCCTGAAGTTCCACATCTACACCTTTTTTTAACACCTCCAGAGATGGTGACTCCACCACTTCCCTGAGCAGCCTTTTCTTTGTCTCGAAGATGCTTGGAAACTGTTGAATTAGTTTTACTAATAAATTAGTGATTTTTTATAACAAACCAAGCCATTAAAGAAAATAAAAGCAAGATCTTCATTGCCGTCATTTTATCCTCAGTCTTCTGATGCTTTTTGTCCTCATAGCCTGATTTTTTAAAAAAAGTATTTCCTAGTTAACTAGTTGAAATTATTTTCATTGGGTAGCCATACTCATATTAGTCCTAGTATATAGTCCTAGTATATATTCTTTCTTGGGTTGATTCTGCTTGAGATCAAAAAATCACTTAAATTATTTTAGACTGAATTAAACAAAAGTAAATTGTTTCTGAATTTTTATTTTCCTAAAAAGTATTTCACCCTCTTAAAAGTAGCATATGCATTGTATATTTATTTCTGTGTAGTAATAATTCTTGCCATTTTGAAATAGATATCTAGATAGTATTTTTGCAATTGTCGTAGTACCTGTAAAATATGTATATATACATATATGCACACACACACACACATATATATATATATGTGAATGAAGTGACTTTTCTTGAACTGTTTTCATACAGGCTCATGAGGCAACACTGGAGGCTAGAGCTAGCCCAGAGCTGAGTGATCGTATGCAGCAGCTAGAAAGGGAGGTAACACGATACCGGGAAGAATCTAGCAAGGCTCAAGCTGAAGTGGATCGTCTTCTGGAAATCTTGAAAGAGATGGAAAATGAGAAGAACGATAAGGATAAGAAGATAGCGGAACTGGAGAGGTGAGAATGGTATATAGTTACTAGAGGAGCAAAACGTTGATTAAAGAATAACTTAGTCCATTTTTCTTGTCTTAAAAACTTTTGAGTGCCTATTTTGGGGAAATCTGTTCAGCATTTTTCTGCCTTCAGTTCTTTATTTTGGTAGATTGCAAGCAAAAAGGTGTCTTACTGTATGCTGTCATTACCTGGCTGCTCAAAGATAGGGCTGATACAGATAGAACGAAAAGGGTAGCTAGAGCCGTAAGGAAAGGGAGATGGTAGGAAAAGTTGACAACACTGAGTAGCAATTTATTCTTTTGATTTAATAAATTTCTTAGGCGTGGCTCTCCAAATGAGAAATCGAAAAATTTACTGATAAGAGCTTGTGCACTCGTTACTCAGGTTCTTCTGACAAATGGCATTGAAACTCTTTGTACTGGTAGGGACACAGATAAACTTTGGCTCATATGAAGCTGAATGAACAAATTTGTTTTTGTCCAAACAAAATCTGATTCACCACTTTTCAGCATTTTCTGTCTTTCTGTTGGAGCCAGGGTGGGTGCTCAGGTATTTTTTTTCTAGACTTTAATGTCCCAAATAAAAATTATAATTTATTATGATTCCATGATATTTGAATCACAATTATATGTAGTAAATCTTAGGAAAGACCCAGAACAGATTCTCTTTTCTGTAATTTTCTCCCTTTACGGTGGACCAAGATGGAGTTTCTAGGCAGTAATACTTGCTTGGGGTTTTTTGTTTACCATTCACAACGAAAAATCACTAACTTGGAACAGCAAAATGGAAATTTGATTATTCCCATTTGCCTTGCACCAGAATAGCATTTCTAATTTCTATCTTATCGCTATTTAACTGCTCTGCATTTAGTGTCAAGATGATTAAGGGAACTGGGTAAAGGACATTTCAGGTTCTGTATGATGCAGTGATTTTTCTTCATTCGTCTGATGACAGTCAAATTATGGGCCCCTCTGAATTATTTGAAAAACTTCTAAGAAGTCCATTCTTGTTTCCTTGAAAGTGACAGAGCTCTGAAACATTTCAACTCATCAGTTTTCTTTAAGTTGTTGGGTTTTTTAATCAGAATTCTTTATACCTATGGTGTAAGTTTGAATACCCAAAAGTGAGGGTATGTTCTTTTTAACTGTCTTCCCTTTTTTTCTAAGTGATAAAAATTTCAGCCCATTGATACATGATGTATTCAGCAGAGCATTCAGGCAATAGGTTGATAGAGTAGGTGCATTTAGTATAGACTTGAAAAAGCTAAATAGTTACGAGTCATATTTGTTTGTGTAATTTCTTTGGTGGTGCCCATCTTGAGTGTGACGTTCACCATGTCATCATCTCGGGACATGCAAGGTGACAAGGGATCAGAGTATAAGCAACAAACTTCTGTTAGAAGTAAGGTATGAGGAAGTATATTCATAGTGCCTTATTTTTTTCTGTGTGCAGATGTAATTATTGGTTAGGAAAAGCAAGTCAGAAATACTCATCATGCTTCAACCTGATTCCTAGAGGAGACTGGGATGTCACGAAGAGAATTTTCCTATATATATACTTTTAATGCAAGTCTGATTTTTTTTTTTATTACATTAGCATTCAGAAACTCTAATCAAGACTGGGACTTGAAGTATCAAACAGTGAATAAACACATATAAATGGCCTATAATCAAAAGAGCTTATAATCTTAAAAGCAAAAATAACAAAGAAGAGAAATGAAGATGAGCTGCCTGTTCTTTTACAGATACAAGCATTGGCACCCAGTCTTCAGAGAAATGGAGAGGATGTTTTTCTTTGAAAAGATGTAGTTCCAGAGATCTGCAAAGCAATTATTGTTTTTCATGCTACAGTGGTAGTTTCTTGCTGTTTCAGTCACAGACCAAGCTCTTACTGTATCAATGAAAGCATAAAACCCCCCTATTGTGGTTTAGGCCTAACTGGAAACTGAGCATCACGTGGCCACTTGTTCACTCCTCCCCCCGTTGGGATAGGGAGCAGAAAACGTAACAAAAGGCTCGTGGGTTGAGACAAGGACAGAAAAGGATCACTCACCAGTTATGGTCGAGGAAAAAATAGATTTAATTTGTTACCAATCAAATCAGAGTAGGATAACAAGAAACAAACACAAATCTTAAAAAAAACTTTCCCCTGCCCTCCCTTCTTTATGGGCTCTACTTTACTCCCAATTTCTCTACCTTCTCCCCTGCAGTGGCATCTGTAACAATTTGGTGACTACTTTGACTATTCAGTGTTATTCATTCCTCTTACCACTTGATCTTTGCCCTTATTAAAAAAAGTAGAGTGGTCCTCTTCACTTTTTAACTTGCTGTCTTTTCTACTACTACAAAGATAACATAAAATATATCTGCTTTTATTTCTAGTAACTAGAATAAGTATTTCATTTGTGTCAAAGGAAAGACTACTATTACTATGTGATTACCAGCAGCCATGTAAATCAAGGGGAGAAAGGTCTAAGAATATTCATGTTCTCTAACCACTGTAAGTGGAAATGGAAAAGGTCTTCGAGATCTAGAGAGCTAAGGTGTTGGTGTGGTGCATTAGCAAAGTATCAGCACATGAAATGATTTTTCAGAGGAACTGTGATATAATCACAGCATTGGAGAAAAAGATACAAGGTTTCAGATATGTTGTCATGAGGTTTTGACGAGTCATTTCTCATTTTCTGAATAACTGTTGCAGTTTCTATTTGGCCTCAGTTGTTTTCAGCTGCTCCCTCAAACCCCAATTCTCTGGAAGCTTGCTTTCTCCTTGTGAGTTTTTAAACAAAGCAGAGATTTTAACATGCCTATTAAATGTATAGGTTGGTCTTGGTTTATCTACGATGCTTGTTTATGAAGTATTCTTTCATGGCTGAACTGACATATCCAGACATGTAGCATGGATGTTTTGGAGTTAGTCTTGGTTTCCTAAAAAAAAACAGATAATAGTTCTTCCTAAACTGTGGTCCATGCAGAGTGAGCTAGAAATTATCTTGACTTCTGATGCTTCTACAGCTGTTCAACCTCTGCTGTGCAAAGAAGATCCCTAGTGCTTGCAGAATCACTTGTCAGCAAGCAAAATATTGCTGTGCCTATTGGGAACCGTTATTATTTAGCATGGAGCAAGGTGAGAAGAAATAAGTCACATTCAGAGAACAACTGTACTAACGAAAATGGGATTTTTCAAGAGAATATCTCCCTGGAGTTTTCCTTATGGTAGTTATATGTGACAACTAGACTGTAAGTTGTCAGGACAAGAGAAATAGTAACATGGTTTCATCCATAGAAGAGAAGAAATGAGTCATCTATTAGGGAGGTATGTACAGGAGAAGAGAAAAGAAGAAAAGGAAAGAGGGAAGGAAGATGAAATGAAAAGCAGAAAACTGTTCTTTTAATCCTTTTCAATGATGGCAAAGCTGCCTTCAGTTAAAATTAAAATAAAGAAGGAAATGCTTCCACTCTTCAGTAACTGTTGCAATTACTGGGTGGGGGACATTGTTTTTCAGCTGTGAATGGGAGGAAAGATATTCAATACCAAAGTATTAAATATGGTGCATGCTATGCAAAAGTTTGAAAAATACTCTGGAGTCAACATGAGATTGAAAGCACAAGCTCATTAATTTATATTCTCTGTGGGCAAGATTTTGCTTTTTCATATGGGAAGGTGGGCCATAAGTCGGCATTTCTTCTGTGGGTGAACAGCCCTATAAGTTTTGTTTCTGTCCCCGAATTGTGGTGGTGTAGAGGGTTTTGTCTGGTTATTCACTTCCTCTATAACTAACTGTTTGCTTTTTGTATTGCCATTCCACAACCTCCTGTCTCTCTGTAACTTCTCATTTTGTGTTTTGTTTCCTTCCTCACTTTTTCTTTCCATTCACACTGTCACGTCCTGGTTCCCCGAGTTGTTTTGTTTCGTACGTGCGGGGGTTTTTTTGACTATGCCTTTTCTCAGAAAGCACGCCTCCCGCAAATTGCACCCTCCCTACCAGGTGTCGGTCCCTGCACCGCAACACGTAGGGGGGTTTGTGTGGGACTTCCTGGGAAAGTGAGTGCTCTATAAGGCTTCTGTTTCCTATGGGGTGGAATGGCACCGCTGGCTGCCCGGCTGCTGCTGCTGCTGCTCTTTGGGTCTGCTGCAATTACGCTTTTTTTTCTTAGGTCAAACAGGAACTAGTTCTGTCAAGTACACGCTCTAACAGTCTCTGCGTTCAGCTCATGTCACGGTGGCTATGACCACGGTCCAAAGGAGGTTTGCTGCTATTCTCCCTGATTTAAACTCGACAGGAGCTATGGCTTTTAATTCTAATCCTCTTACTGTGTTTTACCTTTGGTTCTAATCTCTGCTATCAATTCTGCCTGAACCAGATAAAACTCAAGTGTTCTAAAATGTGTCATTGCTAGAGGTCAGTATTGTCTTATTCTTGAGTTTTATTGTGATTGTTATCCTGTAATAAGAAAAAAAAAACCAAAACAAACCCAAAACAGAAGATAAAAGTAGGAAAAATAATGCAGTTCATCTGGTACATGGCCACCACAGGCTTCAGACGGGTAGTTTACACACAGAGGCGTTTGTGTGCGTATATTCTACAAATAAGAACTGACTCTATACTTGAGAGGTGGCAGTAAATATCTGTGTATATGTTGTTTCAGAAGCGAGCACTGGCTGAATTTATATGGAGGTCCATGAATATATATGGAGGTCCTGGCTCCAGTTACAGACTTGAAAATGATTTTAATTTGGCATGCTCACTGCATATGATAGGTAGTCCTTGTAAGGATATAGGACACTACCATTTTTTTCCTGAAGGAAACTTGACTTTGATTTGAGAACAAAGGAAGACAGTGCCCAGCTTGGGAGTACCAGCAGTCCCATTAAGGACAGTGGGAAATTATTGTTATTTTAAGAGAGAGATTTTGGGGAGTTTTTCTAAAAAGAGTTTAAGGATGCCCTTTTCAAGAAGAAAGCTTCAAACTTTTGGTGTGTAGCAGCCGAAAGGTATGCTT